CAAAAGATCACCATGATAAATTTGATTCCAAAATTGATGTTGGTATTTTCTTGGGTTATGCACCTCGAAGTAAGGCTTATAGGGTCTTCAATAAACGAAGCCTCGTTGTTGAAGAGTCTATAAACGTTACTTTTGATGAGACTAATGTTGGCTCTCAAGTTGTGTTGCCTAGGAAAGATGATGATGATGATATTGATGGAGGATTAGACTTGTCGCAAATCAATGACACTCCTTCTATAGAAGTTCAAAAGGATGTAGATAGCACCAATGCTCAAGAACAAGTTGAACTACCTAAAGCTTGAAAATTCACATCAAACCATCCAAATGAACAAATCATTGGGATCCCTTCAAAAAGAGTTATAACTCGCTCAAAAGCATTGAGTGAATGTGGTAATGTTGCATTTCTATCTCAACTAGAACCTAAAAAGGTTAATGATGCTTTAAATCATTTCTATCTCAACTAGAACCTAAAAAGGTTAATGATGCTTTAAATGATGAGTTTTGGGTTTTGGCTATGCATGAAGAATTAAACAATTTTCAAAGAAATGAAGTTTGGAAGTTAGTTCCTAGACCTAACGATGCTAGTGTTATTGGTACAAAATGGATTTTTAGAAATAAACTTGATGAACATGGCATTGTAACTAGAAATAAAGCTCGTTTGGTTGCCCAAGGATACAATCAAGAGGAGGGCATAGACTATGATGAAACATTTGCACCGGTTGCAAGGTTAGAATCTATTAGGATGTTTTTGGTATTTGCTAGCTTTAAAATTTTCAAACTCTTTCAAATGGATGTTAAAAGTGCCTTCTTAAATGGTTTTATAGAAGAGGAAGTGTATGTTGAGCAACCCCCCGGTTTTATAGATCATGCTTTTCCTAATCATGTTTACCGGGTAGAAAAAGCTTTATATGGGTTGAAACAAGCTCTTAGGGCTTGATATGCTCGCCTCTCTAGTTTTCTTATTAGAAATGGTTTTTCAAAAGGAACAATTGATAACACACTTTTTGTGAGAAAAATAAAAAATGATTTTATTTTAGTTCAAATATATGTGGATGACATCATTTTCGGTGCTACTAATGAATCCTTGTGCAAGGAATTTTCTAAAGTAATGCAGGATCACTTTGAGATGAGTATGATGGGAGAGCTTACATTCTTTCTCGGGCTCCAAGTCAAGCAAACTAAGGATGGGATCTTCATTTCACAAAGCAAGTATGCGAAGGAATTGGTGAAGAAATTCAAGTTGGAGAATTCTAAGCATGCGCCTACTCCCATGAGTACTAGTGTTAAGCTTGACGCGGATGAAAGTGGTGAAGACGTGGACCAAAAATTATACCGAGGTATGATAGGTAGTCTTCTTTATCTTACCGCTAGTAGGCCCGATATTATGTTTAGTGTGTGTGCATGTGCACGTTTTCAGGCATCTCCAAAAGCATCTCACTTAATTGCGGTTAAAAGAATCATTAAGTATGTTAATGGAACTTTTAACCTTGGTTTATTTTATCCACGAAGCACTTCTTTTGATTTATATGGTTTTTGTGATGCTGACTTTGTCGGATGTAAGGTAGATCGCAAGAGTACTAGTGGAACATGCCAATTCTTAGGAAATTCCCTTGTTTCTTGGGCTTCTAAGAAACAAAATTGTGTTGCATTGTCCACTACGGAAGTGGAATACATTGCCGCCGGCTTATGTTGTGCTCAAGTTTTATGGATGAAACAAAGTTTAGTTGACTATGATTTGAATTTTCAAAATATTAAAATCTTTTGTGATAACACAAGTGCCATAAATATTTCCAAAAATTCGGTTTTGCATTCTAGAACTAAGCATATTGACGTGCGCCATCATTTCTTACGCGATCATGTAGAGAGACAAGATGTATCCCTAGTATTTGTTGACACCAAATCTCAACTAGCGGATATATTTACTAAGCCTCTTGGAGAGGATGATTTTTGTCGCATAAGAAATGGTTTGGGCTTATGCACTATGTGACCGTTCTACATTGCTTGCTTGACTAGTTGTATTTTGCATTTAGTATTTCTCTTTACCCCATTTTTGATGGTGACAAAGGGGGAGAGAAATCTCCTCATTTGTTGCATATATTTAGGGGGAGCTCATAGATAGGGGGAGCACCTATCTATAAGCTATTTTATTTTTGCTCTTATATAATGGTTGGTTGTCATCATCAAAAAGGGGGAGATTGTTAGCCCTTATGTTTTGATGATGTTTTTACAACCACCATTATCGGTACTAATAGCTTATTGAGTGAAAATATAGTAAATTCATTTATCAAGTTCATTAGTGCCATTAACGGAGGATGGATGGAATATACGCTACAACGAAGATATCCAAAGGAGGAGGAGGCCAAGAGATGAAGCAACGTTATTTCAAGAACGACAAATTCGAACCTGTTTTCTGAAGAATGTCAGAAAGCGGTCGACCGGTCCGGTCGACCGCTCTCATGGCCATTCCTTTCTATTTTCCAGAGAGGTCATCGGTCGACCGGTACGGTCGACCAAAATCTCAACTTTCAAATCGGTCGACCGCGCCGGTCGACCGACGGTGTCTCTGCTTGATTTTTAAGTTTCTAAGGTTGTTGGCGGTCGACCGAAATTTTCGGTCGGTCGACCGAAGCATTTTTTCGGTCGACCGAAATTCCCTTCGGTCAACCGATTTGTGTCTTTGGTCAGCCGCGACTTTTTTAAAACGGTCGTTTGCCTCGACTGTTGTGCTTTCACTTAATAGTGTTTGGCACAGTCTGAGATAACAACCTGAAAAGTAGATTATCTTCCTAAATAGGAAGATTGGGTTTTTGTTTTTAATTGGTTTAAACTCTTTTATAAAACCCCCTAGACTGCTTCTTCTTCCTTAGCCCTAACGTTTTAAAAACTAGAGAGAGCTTTCTGTTTCCTGAGAAAAATTTTTAAATCCTGCTTTTCTCTCTGTTTTAAGTGTGATTCACTTCCCAGCTTCAGTAAACCTACTCTTTGCTATAGGGGCTGTGTAAAGAGAGGTTCTTGCATCTTTTCTTCTGCTGTGAGGGTGAGATCTTGTGTAAGATCTACTGTGAGGGTGTGATCTGTTGAGATCAAACTGTGTAGTGAGAGAGATCTGTGGAGATCGCTGTGTAGACGAAGTTCCGGATTCCAAACCGGGTGTGTAGTGGATTTCTCCTCGAGAGTGGGGAGCGGGGACGTAGGCCAGAGGGCCGAACCTCGTTAACACATCGCGCGTCAAGGATAACGAACTCCTAACCCTATCTCTCTTACTTTTATCGCATTTTCTCTTTGCTATAGGGGCTGTGTAAAGAGAGGTTCTTTCACTGTTTCTTCTGCTGTGTGAGTGAGATCTGTTGAGATCAACTGTGAGGGAGAGTGATCTGTGAGATCAAACTGTGTAGTGAGAGAGATCTGTGGAGATCGCTGTGTAGACGAAGTTCCGGCTTCCAAACCGGGTGTGTAGTGGATTTCTCCTCGAGAGTGGGGAGCGGGGACGTAGGCCAGAGGGCCGAACCTCGTTAACACATCGCGCGTCAAGGATAACGAACTCCTAACTCTATTTCTCTTACTTTAATTGCTTTACTGTTTTGTGGTTTGCTTGTGCTGAATTTTTATTGCATATTAGAGCCTCTTGACCCTAATCACCCCCCCTCTAGGATCCAACAAGCCCTCGTTCCCCCACCCGCTCGACGGAACCTCGGCGTGCCCTCGTCCCCCGCCGACCCTCACCGTGCCCTCGTCCTCGCTAACCCTTGTCGTGCCCTCGTCCCTCGCCGCCCCTCGCCGCCAAAGAGTCGTGCCCTCTTTCAGGTATAAGATCTCGATCTCTATAAGATCTTGTTTTCTTGTTCCTTTGATTTTGAGAAATTAGGGCGTAATCTCCAGAGTCTCCCTCTCTTTGGTATTTGATCGGGGCATAGTTTGATCTGTTAGATTCTAGGTTTGTTTGTTTATTCTATGAAGATCAGCTGTTTTTACACTTGATTGTGTTTCTAAATTCTTATAAAAGTTCATGCATGTGCCAGCGAAATCTTGGTCTTTTGATCTCGTTCTTTATTTTGAATTTAAGTTAATTTTAGTAATCTCTTAATTGAGGAAAAATCATAGTGCATATAGTTAGCAACAAAATATAGAACTATTTGGGAGGGTATAACCGTATAAGTGTTGTTGGTATAAATTACAAGCAAAACTTGATATTAGTAGTATGTGCGCATGCATGTGTTACAAAGGTTTACTACTTCGATCCATTGTCTTTCTGTAGATTTCTCATTGCATCTTAAGCGAACTATCAAAATTACGTTGTCTTTCGATGATTGCAGTACTTTCATTTGTTTATTGCTTCCTAATTACTGATGTATTATTCTATTTTTTTTAGTTTGTTGATTCAATGTATATTGGGTTATGATATTGTTTAGTCAAGTTGTTATGCACTGGGGGATGCACAAAATGCTTTGAAACACTTTCATAAACCTGGCTAAAATCATGATGGGTAGACATAAGGTCAATATGAATATTTGTTGTCATATTCTAATACTATACCATTATATTCTAATATTATATCACCTTATAATGGTAAGTCCCCAAACATTACACATGTATCAGAGATGTTAATAACAAATCGGACCCAATGAATTATTCAAAATTTAACTTACTATGGTCCCCAATACTATTATATCCACTACAACAAAACTGTTTTTTTATAGAGTTGAATGATAGCGTTTATGTTGTAAATGCTATAGATTATATGTGCCATATTTTTTGATAGCCTTTGAAAAATTTTAAACGCTATCAATAATTGATCGCTTTTATTTTTGTTCTGGGGCGTTGAAATCTTTAAGCGGGACACCAAAAATTAAAACCGCATGTTGAAAACCATTCTAAAAACCCCCAATCGAGAATCAACAAATAATCCCAGTTCCCGTTCCTTTTCTTTCATCCAAACCCTAACATCCCTCCGACTCGTCGCTGCCGCCTCCGAGTCGTCGCCGGTGCCATCTCTGAGTCGACTGGGAGCTCAGGGATCAATCTGAAGAGGCTTATTCCTTTGAAATTCCTTTTGAAATTCTTGTTGAGTTTAATTTGATAACTGGGTAAGAGTTTAATTTTGTTTTTCTGTTAGGTATTTGAATGATAATTGCGTATTAGTTTAATTCTCGACAAGAAGTATTAGAAAACCATGTATATGTGCTAAACATTGTTAATCATAATTTTAATCCAATACTTCCTGTTTGCAGTTTATTCCCTTGCAAAGTTAATGAATGTGAAGGATGATCATGGCTCTCTCTCCGCTATTGCAAGGTTAGGTTTTTAATCTCTTTGAAATCTTTATCTCAAGCATGCACACTCTTTTCCTAGGATCTAATCTGCTGATTTATGCATGACTTTGCATTTCTGTGATTCATTCTTTGTGTTATATGTATTTTCATACCAATGCTAAATGTATTATCTATTTTATTTCAGTATGTTTGCTTTTATACTTGGAGGAAGTAAATTTGATCTTATCCCGGTATTTTACATTGTAATCATAAATCACAGGTAAGGTTCAGGCAGTGCATCCCGCTATTCCCAACTACTATGCAGTTAGCTCTTACAAGAGTCATGTTTGATGCAAACACCAATAATTGGGGCCTGGACCTTTTGGATTAGAAAACGTGTATGACATTTTTAAATTCATCGGCATAATCATTTAAGTAATTTGATTGTTTTTCTTTCTAGAAAACGTGTATGACATTTTTAAATTCATCGGCATAATCATTTAAGTAATTTGATTGTTTTTCTTTCTCATACTTGTGTGGTATATGAAATGAGAATATATCTAAAGCTCATTCACAAGCTTATTATCTCCTAGGCTAGTTGTTTGTAGTTTTTAAATAGTGAGAACAAGTAGCAGATTGACGAATAACTAACTCTTGCCTAAGCTTAGTGTAATAGTAAAATCTTATACTACACTGACAGATTGACCAGCTTCTGAATTTTCATGAAGAACGTCTGAATCTTTGCATATTGGGTTAAAACTAATTCTACATGTTAATAAAATCATTTCTTGAATCAAAGGTGTATAACTGTAGTGTTAGTAGCTTTTATTTTCGGCTCCCGAAATTTGAATACTTACAGGACCTGCCCTTGTTGGTCTCCATCTCTCTGTTGGGAGCTACCAAATTCCAATATTACATTTTAACACATAAATGTGTTTTGTCGCACACAAAGAGGATAGAGTTAGAAAATATGAGAATTTCTAAATTTCTTTTTGAAATCTTAAAGGTTAATGAAGCTTTGTGGGCATTAAAATTTCCTTATGTTTACCCTGATCCTGAAAGTCATTGATTGCATGCTGCTCTTGCAAAAAATTCAGGACTTGAATCTGATTATATACTTGTTGGTTGTAGAGCAGATGAACTTATTGATCTAATTATGAGATTAAAGCATGGATTCTCCTGATTCTATTTAAGCCATATTCCATTACTATCCTGCACATCATGCATCAAGTATATTGATGTTTATCTTAGTGGTCTTCCACAGATGTGTGCTTCATCTTGGTGACAAGATTTTTGACTGTCCTCCAACATTTACTATGTACGAGTTTGATGAAGCTGTGAATGGAGCACTGGTCATCAAAGGTACTTAGTTGGTTTCCTTTTAACCTGCTTCTTCTTTTGTAGAAAAAGTAAATGATTTAAAGTGAAACACAATGGGACTTTTGCTTCATCATTCTTCTAAACTAAAAGAAAAAGAAAAAGAAAAAGTAGGGTCATCTGGTCTAATTAAATTGTTACCAGTTTTGACAGTCTATATGTTTCCATTGTGTTGCAGTTCCAAGATTATCAGATTTTTCTTTGGACGTTTCTTGCGTTGTTGAAGTTGTCAAACTGGAAAAACCAAAATGCATTTTCCTTACATCTCCAAATAATCCAGATGGAAGGTAAATTCCCAATCCATTCTACAGCTCATCCTTTTTTCTAACTGTGATTATATTTTAGCATGTTGTTATAGAAAAAAGTTGAGCTATTCATACTGGTGCTCTAGTTATAGTTGATTACTTGTTATTTATTCAAAACTGCAGCCATTTTCTTTGTGATTCTGCTTAGAGCATGGGTCTACCTTGTCTGATATCAGTTGATTGCTATCACATTCTTACTGTACAATCAGTGATGAAGATCTCCTAAAGATTATTAGCGCTCCAGTATTGGTTGTGCTGGATGAAGCTTACATAGAATTCTTTGGTATAAAGTCAAGGATGGACTGGGAAAGAAGCATGACAATTTGATTGTCCTTCGGACATTTAGTAACGAGCAGGTTAATTAGCATCTTCAGCCATTTTCCATATGTATGAGAATGTGATACTTTGTGCTTCAAATCAAGTGCATTTTGAATCCAATTATTCTATATAAGTATATTTATCTTATATTCTTTGGCAGCTCTTTTTTCTGTGCTTAATAATTGTTATAAGTTTGATTATTTAATTTATAGGCAGCTCTTATTATCGAACATGCCTTTCAAATAGGTTTCCTTTGCGCTTCAGATATGAACCCTAAACAAGTAAACATCATAGTGAATCTTATCATATTCCTCCTTCAATGCATTCACTTAGATCCCTAGTCTATAATAAATTGGATGCTTTATCCTTTATCCATGAGCAAGGTTTTAAATGTCGGATGTCGGGTTCATGTCGGATGGCTGAAATCATAAGCTTGATCATTGGCATCTTGAATTTGCACTGGATCAAATAGACTGATTTGTCACTTTTATTTTATTGATTATTTATTTTAATAGCTCCAGCAAAACTTTTTACATGGCCCTTTTATGTTAACTTGTAGCTATGGTGGGTTATTTTGCCCACAATCAACTTTCAGATAGATGCTGACAGCTATGCCTCCTTCTGTCATGTTTTAGCGTCAGTGATTATCAAAGTTCTGACATATTAATTGTTGAGTCAAATTCATTGTGTTTCAGGTAAGTTCACGGCAGAAAGAAACAAGTAGCACCACGGGTATGCGTGAGAGTGTCGAGACCAGTCCTCTATTAGAGCACAGGGCCAAGGTAGTCCCCTTCTCTCTCATGCAAAAACATCTATTGAAGATGCTATCGGCACTAAAGTAGTGTAGCCTGCTGACAAGGTTGTATTGGAAAATATCTCAATTAACAACGTGGAATCTACAAACATATCATCTCCTTCGGTAATCTTTTTTGCTGATACTATCATTATTTTGATATTTGATTGTACTAGTTTCTTTTCTATAATTGATATCACTGTTTTTGCATTGTTGCTAGAGTGTGAACAACTCAAAGAAAAAGTGCAACTTGTTAGATATTGGTGGCTCGGGAAAGATAGTTGCTGAAGGACATTGGTCTTCAAGTGATCCGAACCAGGTTGTTCACTTCGTTCCTTTAGGTCCTAATGCTATGCGTGTTTGGGTTGATATCCCTAGGATCCCTAGTGCATCTCTTTGGAGGCCGACATCTGAGTTAGAATGCATTGAAGATGCCGTTGGTACGACAATAGCTTGGCCGTCAGACAAAGTTGTTATGCTTTGAAAAGCTGGTAAGTTATACATAATTGGTGACTACTTTAAATGAGCCCGTCGGAGCCCCTCCTTGTCTCTCGTCCACCTCTGAAACCCCTCTTATTTGAAGATTCGAGGGATTAATTTGAGAATCTGAAAGGTTTAAGAGAATCTGAAAATCATTTTCTTTTGATTTTTGATTTTTTTGGGTAGTTATTTTGTGAGATTAGTTGTGATGAATATGTGGTTTATTTGTGATGCAGAGCACTGGGAGCTCAGGGATCAATCTGAAGAGGCTTATTCCTTTGAAATTCCTTTTGAAATTCTTGTTGAGTTTAATTTGATAACTGGGTAAGAGTTTAATTTTGTTTTTCTGTTAGGTATTTGAATGATAATTGCGTATTAGTTTAATTCTCGACAAGAAGTATTAGAAAACCATGTATATGTGCTAAACATTGTTAATCATAATTTTAATCCAATACTTCCTGTTTGCAGTTTATTCCCTTGCAAAGTTAATGAATGTGAAGGATGATCATGGCTCTCTCTCTGCTATTGCAAGGTTAGGTTTTTAATCTCTTTGAAATCTTTATCTCAAGCATGCACACTCTTTTCCTAGGATCTAATCTGCTGATTTATGCATGACTTTGCATTTTTGTGATTCATTCTTTGTGTTATATGTATTTTCATACCAAAGCTAAATGTATTATCTATTTCATTTCAGTATGTTTGCTTTTATACTTGGAGGAAGTAAATTTGATCTTATCCCAGTATTTTACATTGTAATCATAAATCACAGGCAAGGTTCAGGCAGTGCATCCCGCTATTCCCAAATACTATGCAGTTAGCTCTTACAAGAGTCATGTTTGATGCAAACACCAATAATTGGGGCCTGGACCTTTTGGATTAGAAAACGTGTATGACATTTTTAAATTCATCGGCATAATCATTTAAGTAATTTGATTGTTTTTCTTTCTCATACTTGTGTGGTATATGAAATGAGAATATATCTAAAGCTCATTCACAAGCTTATTATCTCCTAGGCTAGTTGTTTGTAGTTTTTAAATAGTGAGAACAAGTAGCAGATTGACGAATAACTAACTCTTGCCTAAGCTTAGTGTAATAGTAAAATCTTATACTGCACTGACAGATTGACCAGCTTCTGAATTTTCATGAAGAACGTCTGAATCTTTGCATATTGGGTTACAACTAATTCTACATGTTAATAAAATCATTTCTTGAATCAAAGGTGTATAATTGTGGTGTTAGTAGCTTTTATTTTTGGCTCCCGAAATTTGAATACTTACAGGACCTGCCCTTGTTGGTCTCCATCTCTCTGTTGGGAGCTACCAAATTCCAATATTACATTTTAACACATAAATGTGTTTTGTCGCACACAAAGAGGATAGAGTTAGAAAATATGAGAATTTCTAAATTTCTTTTTGAAATCTTAAAGGTTAATGAAGCTTTGTGGGCATTAAAATTTCCTTATGTTTACCCTGATCCTGAAAGTCATTGATTGCATGCTGCTCTTGCAAAAAATTCAGGACTTGAATCTGATTATATACTTGTTGGTTGTAGAGCAGATGAACTTATTGATCTAATTATGAGATTAAAGCATGGATTCTCCTGATTCTATTTAAGCCATATTCCATTACTATCCTGCACATCATGCATCAAGTATATTGATGTTTATCTTAGTGGTCTTACACAGATGTGTGCTTCATCTTGGTGACAAGATTTTTGACTGTCCTCCAACATTTACTATGTACGAGTTTGATGAAGCTGTGAATGGAGCACTGGTCATCAAAGGTACTTAGTTGGTTTCCTTTTAACCTGCTTCTTCTTTTGTAGAAAAAGTAAATGATTTAAAGTGAAACACAATGGGACTTTTGCTTCATCATTCTTCTAAACTAAAAGAAAAAGAAAAAGAAAAAGTAGGGTCATCTGGTCCAATTAAATTGTTACCAGTTTTGACAGTCTATATGTTTCCATTGTGTTGCAGTTCCAAGATTATCAGATTTTTCTTTGGACGTTTCTTGCGTTGTTGAAGTTGTCAAACTGGAAAAACCAAAATGCATTTTCCTTACATCTCCAAATAATCCAGATGGAAGGTAAATTCCCAATCCATTCTACAGCTCATCCTTTTTTCTAACTGTGATTATATTTTAGCATGTTGTTATAGAAAAAAGTTGAGCTATTCATACTGGTGCTCTAGTTATAGTTGATTACTTGTTATTTATTCAAAACTGCAGCCATTTTCTTTGTGATTCTGCTTAGAGCATGGGTCTACCTTGTCTGATATCAGTTGATTGCTATCACATTCTTACTGTACAATCAGTGATGAAGATCTCCTAAAGATTATTAGCGCTCCAGTATTGGTTGTGCTGGATGAAGCTTACATAGAATTCTTTGGTATAAAGTCAAGGATGGACTGGGAAAGAAGCATGACAATTTGATTGTCCTTCGGACATTTAGTAACGAGCAGGTTAATTAGCATCTTCAGCCATTTTCCATATGTATTATGTATGATAGTATGAGAATATGATACTTTATGCTTCAAATCAAGTGCATTTTGAATCCAATTATTCTATATAAGTATATTTATCTTATATTCTTTGGCAGCTCTTTTTTCTGTGCTTAATAATTGTTATAAGTTTGATTATTTAATTTATAGGCAGCTCTTATTATCGAACATGCCTTTCAAATAGGTTTCCTTTGCGCTTCAGATATGAACCCTAAACAAGTAAACATCATAGTGAATCTTATCATATTCCTCCTTCAATGCATTCACTTAGATCCCTAGTCTATAATAAATTGGATGCTTTATCCTTTATCCATGAGCAAGGTTTTAAATGTCGGATGTCGGGTTCATGTCGGATGGCTGAAATCATAAGCTTGATCATTGGCATCTTGAATTTGCACTGGATCAAATAGACTGATTTGTCACTTTTATTTTATTGATTATTTATTTTAATAGCTCCAGCAAAACTTTTTACATGGCCCTTTTATGTTAACTTGTAGCTATGGTGGGTTATTTTGCCCACAATCAACTTTCAGATAGATGCTGACAGCTATGCCTCCTTCTGTCATGTTTTAGCGTCAGTGATTATCAAAGTTCTGACATATTAATTGTTGAGTCAAATTCATTGTGTTTCAGGTAAGTTCACGGCAGAAAGAAACAAGTAGCACCACGGGTATGCGTGAGAGTGTCGAGACCAGTCCTCTATTAGAGCACAGGGCCAAGGTAGTCCCCTTCTCTCTCATGCAAAAACATCTATTGAAGATGCTATCGGCACTAAAGTAGTGTAGCCTGCTGACAAGGTTGTATTGGAAAATATCTCAATTAACAACGTGGAATCTACAAACATATCATCTCCTTCGGTAATCTTTTTTGCTGATACTATCATTATTTTGATATTTGATTGTACTAGTTTCTTTTCTATAATTGATATCACTGTTTTTGCATTGTTGCTAGAGTGTGAACAACTCAAAGAAAAAGTGCAACTTGTTAGATATTGGTGGCTCGGGAAAGATAGTTGCTGAAGAACATTGGTCTTCAAGTGATCCGAACCAGGTTGTTCACTTTGTTCCTTTAGGTCCTAATGCTATGCGTGTTTGGGTTGATATCCCTACGATCCCTAGTGCATCTCTTTGGAGACCGACATCTGAGTTAGAATGCATTGAAGATGTCGTTGGTACGACAATAGCTTGGCCATCAGACAAAGTTGTTATGCTTTAAAAAGCTGGTAAGTTATACATCTTACAATCGTGTGTGTTTACTTTATCATGTTTGTTATAGTTGTAATTTTGGTGTTGTTAATTTATGTTTTTGCAGCAGTACTAGTACTCAATTTCTGAAGATGATGAGTCTCCCAAGTCATATGTAATGCAGCAAAGTTAATTTTTGTTGTTCTGTGTACTATGGTTAATTTCTTGTACTCCATGTTGGATTATCCAAAGACTAGTATTTGTTTTTTGGCACATTTGTGTTGACTCTTCTTGTATGCTACAACTTGGTTATGTATCAGTTTGAACCTTTAAATGAAATATTTTCTTTTATGGTTGTCACAATTGGAAGTTATTTCTAGTTCAACCTCAAAGGTTTATAGGCACAACTGAAATGCTATAAGAAGTGGAAACAATTAATGAAATGTTATTAAAAGAAGAAAGACAACATTCGCTGAAACGCCATTGTAGTAACTCAAACGCTATCAAATGTAAGACAATAGCAGCGTTGAAATGCTATGAATAAAAACTAACTAATAGCGTTTTTCAACCGCTATGAAAGATATTTGTCATAGCAATATAGAAACGCTATTGAATACTCTTTTATAGCTACATAAAAACGCTATGGTTGGAAACTTTTTGATAGCGTTTGGGGAAACGCTATGTAAAGCAACAGACCTACTATAGCGGGTTCTGACACAGCGTTGATTAAAACGCTATGAAATAATACCATAGCGTTTTTCAGCAACTATGGTAGATTTCAGGTGTTGTAGTGATCTCAGGAGTACTGTAGTGAGTTAAATTAGTCACAGGATAAAACAAATTTCTAATCCGAACATGGTTTGAGGGGAAGTGTTATACGAGGATTTAGTTTATACAGAAAGTTGTTATATTTAGAAAATTATTTATTAATTAGTTTCTTGTGTCATAGAAGTGTCCTTATGTACTTAGCATTTAGATTAATACTCTATTATAAATAAGGGTAAAGAGGAGAGGTAAATTATCTCTTCGAATTTTATTGGTTAATGCCGGTTATTTGCCAATTACATGTAGAGGGTCAAGTAAAAGTTTGTATATTGATATATTTTGTATCTATACATAGAATGTTGCTATATGCTTAAACATATGTTTCTATACACATGCAATCAAAAAATAAAGAAATTGTTGATATATTCAAGATACCACATTTTAGAAAACATGTCTTCAATTCATCCTATTTCATCATATCTAAACTGTGATATGGTTCCTAAGGATGAACCATATATGGATGGTTCCTAAGAAATTGTCTTATTGAAAATATGAGCGTTAGATTTTACTCTCACATAATTTATGTTCTGACAATTTTCCCTCCGAGATTATTATAATTTGAATTTCCTTGATGTGTTACTAATAAAAATTCACATTGCCTAATTATGCTTAATATCATATAGATGAGGATAGTTCCTGACAAATCATGGATTGATATTCCTCGTATTGATAGATGGAGGGATAGTCGATATAAAGATGGAATAAATCAATTCATACATTACGCCTTGGCAGACCCACGGAAGTTAAATAGTGACGTCGTGTATTATCCCTACTGTTGGTGTAAAAATAGGGCGTTGGTGGATAAACGTGATTTACAAAAACACTTAATATCAGGATTTTATGATGAGTACAAATATTGGATGTTTCATGGGGAAGGATGTCTTGAAGAAATGGAATTGATGGCGGACACCGGTACGTCCGATGGGAGAATAGATGATATGAGGATAGATGATACACATACGATGCTTGCTAATATGTTAACAGTTCCTAATATAGATCAAGTTGAAGATGCTGAGGATGCTGAAGTTACAGGAAATGCTCAAGGCGTGACTGATCATGAGGAGCTGGCGCAGATAATGAAATTAATAGACGACAATGAAAATGATCTGTTGCACCGAGTTCACCAGGTTATCATTTATGTTGCGTATTTTGCGTATAAAGTCTCTTAGCGGAATGACAGATAAATATTTTAATATGTTGTTTGTGTTGCTGAGAAAAGTCATTCCAAATGGAAAAGATAGCATACCAGAAAATTATGATAACACAAAGAAGATTGTTTCCGTTATAGGACTTGATTACAAAAAAAATCGACGCATACCCTAATGATTGTATCCTCTACTATAAGGATAACAAAGATTTTCAGGAGTGTCTAATTTGTGGAGTATCACGGTGGGTACAACGTAAAAATTATTCAACACATGGGACAGCAAGGTCTATGCTTAAGCAAAAGAAGATTCCAGCAAAGGTCCTTCGTCATTTTCCCTTAATACCTAAGCTAAAACGGTTGTATATGAATAAAGACACTGCTAAGCAAATGAGGTGGCACATGAAAGAACGTATAGATGATGGTAAAATCAGACATCTGGCTGATGCAGAGGCGTGGAAGCATGTGGATCGAACTTTTCCTTGGTTTGCGAATGAGTGCAGGAATGTTAGACTAGGTTTGTCTAGCGACGGATTCAATCCATTTGGGATTATGAGTTCTGGTTGGTCTACATGACCTGTTGTATTAACGCCTTACAACTTACCGCCTTGGCTTTGCATGAAACAACAATATATGATACTTTCATTATTGATACTGTGCAAGCATGCACCAGGCAATGACATAGATGTATTTTTAGAACCGCTAATTGATGAGTTAAAACAACTCTGGACTGAAGGGTTATGACATATGATACTCATGCAAAGCAGTCTTTCAGACTACGTGGTATTTTACTATGGACAATTAATGATTTTTCAGCCTATGCGAATCTTTCGGGTTGGTCTACAAAGGGAACATATGCGTGTCCAGTTTGTGGTCCAGAATTCAAAGGTCTTTATCTGCAGCACAGTCGAAAGTTTTGTTATTGGTTTAACAGAAGGTGGTTGAACCTAAAACACAGATACAGAACAAAAAAATGGAGCAAGTTTTTTGATAGTACTGTTGAGAAGAGAGATGCTCCGCGTCCATTAGGTGAAGATCAGATTGTACATTTGCTTGAGAGGTTCCCTGCTATCAGGTTTGTGTAGGGTCTGATTTTGCTTATGTATACCAAGTGTAGGATCGTGACCCTTAAGAATAGAGTGCGCTCCTATAAAAATCTGTGGAAGCTTTACACTTAAACACTAGAGGGTGAGTTTGCAAAGTAGATTATAAATTACAAAGAAAGAATAACAATCTCAGAAAATGAACATCATAAACACAAGTATGTATACTGGTTCTACCTCCCCGGTGTACATCCAGTCCCCAAGCAAATCCTGCTTGAGAGTTTTCACTATGATTTTAAAACCTTACAAAATCAAAAGCAAACCTGACCAATTTGTAAGACCATGCAAATTGCAAACCCAATTGACAAGACCATGCTAATTGCCACCCAATCTCTAAACCAAGAGATCAACCCTCTCAAACCTGAGAGAAATCCTTTTTGAAGCAAGAACACAATTGATCCTATAAGCTTTGAATGTGTAGTGAAGTGCAGCAATGGCTTAGGATTCTTTTAACTCTCTGAATATTGCCTATACAATCTCTAAGAATGATTAAAACCAAGGCAATATCAGAAACTCTCTTTTTCTAAACACTTAGCATGAAAATCTGGAAAACTAGAAAGTGAATATGCACAAATGTTTGATCTTATGTGTATAAATGAGTTGTACAAATTTCTGAACTTATAACCTATTTGTAGCCCTTGAAAAGACAAGTTTTCAACCCCTAAAAACATACACAAAACGGCTATAAACAGTCACTTATTCAAAACCTAAAATCTGGAAAAACTACATCTGTAGTCGACCACAAGTCATAGTCGTCGACTACACTGAGTCTAAACAGACTCTGTGAAGTCAGAAAATTGCTTAGTATTCGACTACAAGGTATAGTAGTCGACTACACTGTAAACTCACAGATTCTAGAATTTTCTTTTTAGTATTTTCACTGTAACTTTCTCATCCGATATCAGAATGAGATGGTTTAAGATTTGTTGGAAAGCTCTCGAAGAGACCTACAACTTTGATCTTTTGAGTTTTTCCAGATTCTAATTGCTAATGAGTATAAATAAAATTTTTTAAGACTCACTCAATATCTATAAACTCTAATGGCTAACATAGGGGGTTTCTATTATTAACCAATACACTAAGCATGTGTTCGTGTGTTCTAACACTATTTATGTGCATGTGTGTGAGTGATCAAGGCTTGTACAAATTTTTAAGCAAAGAAAATATAAAATTATATTTTGCCAATAAAGTATATCTTCTTCTTTACTTCATTTTGCCTTAAACTCATCTATGTCTTGAGTATCTCTTTGAATATAATTGTTGATATAGCTCTGATACTGCAAAACAAATGTTAGCACATAATACACACAATATATAATATTTGTTATCATCAAAATAAACTAATCTTGGGGTCAAGATTCCTAACAGTTTGGAAAGAAGCGCTATTCGAAAGAAGATTTACTTGGAGTAAGGAACTTGCGTATTAACAAAAGGATACCAAAACGAAAGAGACAAGCACAAGTGGTGAGTGATGGGGCTGAAGTCGTAAAATTACCCTCAGGATGGACAAAATTCAGTATTTTTTTTCAACTCCCCTATTGGAAAGAGTTAAAAACACGTCGCAACTTGGACGTTATGCACATTGAAAAAAATATTTGTGATAATCTTTTATCCACACTGTTGCAAGATGCTAATAAATCAAAGGATGATCTATGAGCTCGTCAAGATCTAACTGCTTTGAACATTAGAGAGGAACTGCAGCCAAAAATTATCGGAAATGACAGATTAGAATTGCCTGCTTTCGTATTACGATGTTGAAAGTTAAGATGCAAACATTTTGTCAAGTCCTCAAATCAACAAAGTTACCAGAGGGTTACTCCGCAAACATATCGAACAATGTCCAGGTGCAAGAAAGGAAAATATTAGAACTTAAAACTCATGAGGGTTAATCTTCTATATATATTCTCTCTGCTTCATAGAATATTTAATAAATAAAACTAATAAATATATTTTTAAATCTCTCTCAAAATGCTCCCTTTATCCCGCTGCCAGAACTGCACAGGAGGACGATGGTTGACTTTAGGAAGGGGTACGATGATGATAAGAATAAGAAACAAAAGCTAGAATTGGCCAAGAAAATGCAGGTTAACTAATTATCTTAGCTCTTATTAGCCTGTTCTTTTGTTAGGAATTTATTGTTTGTACTCTTCTTTTGGTCATCTTAATTATCATACATGAATTATATGTGTGAACGTGTTAAGGAAGATGCATGCATACATACCATTTATTAGCACTTAGCCCCCTCAATTGTGGAACTACTTCATCTTTTATTTTACTTGTTCATTTAAATATATCTTTTATTTTTGAAAGGCCAATTCTTAAATTTATTTTTTTGTCTTTTAGGAAGCTCTGGAAAACACATATGCTGAGGTTGTTGCACAGAGCCAGGAGCCCCTGACTAGAGAGCAGAATTATAATGTGAGCCATTTAGTTTGTGGACTTCCCAAAAAGGGGAGGACCAGGTGTTGGGAGTTGGAGCTCAGAGGGTGTCTACACCATTCCAGCCTCCGCCGATTTCAACGCCATCGACTATGCCCTCGGGGCCCTCTTACATGCCGCAGGAGGATTGCACTCAGCAGGCGATGCAGCTTGTTTCCTTTATGATGAATATGTTAGATGGTTAGATTCCCGAGGAGATGTGGGAGGATATTCAAGAGGAGCTTATGCGAGTGATCCACCCTACTGCTACTTTTGCGATGGTTTCCAGGCAAATAATAAAATCTTGTAGAAGGCGGGTTCCTACTCGGGTGCAAAGCCAGATTATGAACTTTTTGGCCACTCAAAAGGTATTTACTGGTAGTGGAGAGAGTAGCAAACAGGTATACTTATTATATATGTAAAACATGATTACACACAATATTATATGATTCTAAATTTAAATTATTTTGTTGTTAGAGTGGAGATGATGATATTGGGAGCACGAGTCGTAGGGATGGAGCCGCCAGTGGCAACGCGAACGATGACATGGATAGGGCGGATGACCTATTTTAGTGAGTTATATCCTAAACTCGTGTTTGTATATTGGACATCTTTATATTGGAGATTATGATATGCGTATATCCTAAACTCGTGTTTGTATATTGGACATCTTTATATTGGAGATTATGATATGCGTGTATGGTTTGTTGTGGAAATTTTTATGGATTTAGAACTTATGATATGCGTGTATGATATGCGTGTATGGTTTGTTGTGGAAATTTTTATGGATTTAGAACTTATGATATGCGTGTATGGTTTCTTGTGGAAATTTTTGTGGATTTAGAACTTATCGTGAAAATTGAATGTACATATTTCGAATGTTCGTGAAAATTGATTGGATGAGAGATGTTTGTGAAATTTGGATTGTAGAAATTTTGAGATGTTTGAATGTGCAAGAAATGTCGTTGTTTGCAGATTTGTATGTACAGGGAATTGATATGTACAGGGAACTGATTATAATCAGCAAATTTTTTTTTAGTTGCTAATACCTATCGTTGACGGGAATCCCGTCAGTGATAAGTATCGCTGACGGGATTACCGTCAACGATGTATATAACATCACCGACGAGAATCCCGTCAACGATAGGTTATCGCTACGGGATTCCCGTCGGCGATGTGAATAATATCGCTGACGGTAATCCCGTCAGCGATATGTATCGCTGACGGGATTCCCGTCAGCGGTTGTGGGTTCAGCGCTGACGAATTGTCGTCAGCAACAAACATCACTGACGGGAGCCCCGTCAGCGATATACATAACATCGCTGACGGGATAGCCGTCAGCGATGTTTTATTATCGCTGACTGCATTTGTCATCAACGTTATTGCCGTCAGTAATATACATTACTAACAGCACCCCGTCAAAGATAATTCTTCCCTGACGGGACTATTGCTGACGGTGTATCCTTGACGGGAAGCCGTCAATGATATTTATCGCCGACGGGGATTTAGGCATTCTTGACGGGAATGCCCGTCAACGATTCCTGGTTTTCCACTAGTGAGACTTAAGCCTTAAGGAATCATTTTTAGCCTTTGAGCTTTTGGGCTTGGATTCTTGGGCCTTTTGCTTGTTGATTTTCCATTGGGCTTCTTGATTTTCCTTTGAGCTTTTCTTCATTTCTTCATGATTCATGCTTCATTGTTTTGGTTCTGGGCTTTTGCTTCATGGGCTTCTGGCTTGATTTTTGGATTGTTCACAATGCGTATAAGAGGTAAGGTTTTGCTTCATGGTCTTTGGCGTTTTGGGCTTCATTAATTCATGAAATATTTAAAGAGTTTATTTTTCACTTTGGCTTCATAGGCTTTATAACTTCATGGGCTTCTCACAATTCTGAAATAAAATAGAGAAAAGAGAATTTGAGGGTTTTTATATTTAATAATATTTATTTATATTTTTATTCATTTATGTGCAAACTAAACTAAAAACAATTATTAGTGGTATATTTATTTATATAAAATAGATAACGATGGTATAAAATTATAATAAAAATATGATTATCACTGGGTCACATGAAGTTTCTGCTTTTGGGGTCTGGACACATTTTTCCCAAGGGGCTGTTTGGTTCGTTTCCTAGATATAGGGAAATGCATTTCCATATACAAAAACATAAGTTTTGAGTTTTCCAAACTTTTTCAAGAAATGGATTGTTTTGCTTTGGTTCGCACAAAAAAATGATGGGAAACCAATGTATTTATTTTTCTTGTGTTTGGTTCGCATGGAAAAAAAAAGGAAAACTTTTGTTGATAATACATTTCCCACTTTTCTTGTGTTTGGTTGGTTTTGATGTTTGTAGTGAAAAGTGTTTATGGTCACCATGGTAAGATTACCCCCACTATATACAACTTTATTTGTGCTCGTTATATGATGTAATCTTAATCATATAAAAGTTCGAATGTAACATGACAAAACCATGATTTTATCTGCATACAAAGTTTCAAAATTAGCTACAGACTACTGATACAACACCGAGCATAAAAAAACCAAGAGAAACAACATATGCACACCAAACTGAACACAACTAGATTGTAATGGTCACAAATTCGAACATAGCTGCCAAACTTATTATGGCTGAAGGCTCAGAATTTTGGTCAATATTATCATATTGTTAGCCATCCAGTACAATATCAAGAGATATTGCAGGTTGCTAATCTCAGATAACTTAGAAAACCAAAGACATCGCCAGATTCACATTGAAAACTGAAACACTCTGTGCTGGAACCTTTGTAAATGGCGTCTTGATAAACTGAACCAAGAACTTCTTTTGACGTATAGCCCCCCATGTAGGTACAATGAATTCTGCAGATATGAAGATTAACATTGTAGGTAATGAAATAATAGGTTCATTAATGAAACTTCGTTAATGAAATAATAGGTTCAAGTTGAACATTGTAGGTAAATGAGTTGACGGTTTGTAAGTGCTACCGAATTTTTTATAAGAGAGAAGTTATCTGCAATTTACCTTAACATGAAATAGCCATGTTGCCGCAAACATGTTCAAGCATGATGCCTCTAGGTGACATGATATATACATATGCCCAATTGAAATACTAAAACTTCAAAATATGACACGATGGACATGATTACACACACTTCCATTATAAAATACTATGCATTCACCTCTACGTGACAAGATCTGGAAAGTCCAAATTATCGAACAATAAAATAGTATGTATTTACCTAGTATACAAGCTACAAGGAGAATGAGTGGATAAGCATACATGAAGACTTGCTTCATACAGTGACCAGCACAAAACAAAATTTTGACATATCACAACTAATATTTAACGACTTCCCATCACTCAGTTTCCGACATTTTCTTAATATACTTAACTTAGTGCTACAAAATTCTTTACACCAGTTCATCAACAGCCAGGGAAAATGAATTGTGATTAAGTGCAAGCACAGAAAAATACAGTCTGCAAAATAAAGCTACGCTATTGAGAATAATATTCAGAAGTTTCAGGCTTATAACAATTTTTCAGAAGTGCTATTTTCCTGCACAATTTAGTCCACGTCATTGGAACAGTTTTTTTAATAGAAAATATGTATAAGTGAACAAGCAAAAGGCAATATCAAAACATTTGCGTTATCTCAATTTTATCATATATTGGTTCACTTACTGAATGCATCCATACCTACTCTGTGGAACACCTGCAGGTTCTGAACATGATTATTTCTTTAGTAAATGCAGGTTAAAGAATCATGTTTGCAAAAGAAGTCTTCTTTGCAGAAACGACTGCAAGCATCACAAGTATCTAAACTATTAAGCACTATAGATAACTTTCCACTTATGAATAACCTATAAGAACTTGAGAGGTACAAATGCTCGACTATTATGGTGATGACGAAGAAAATTTGTTTTGGACACAGATGCATGGAATTATGAATAGACATGAGTTTGCTAGAAAGGTGTGTTCTTATCCACAAAACTATCAATGTACCGGTTAATTTAACTTACTTACCCTTGTATAAAATTGTTGTCGTGACTAATTCTATACTAATAGAAAGGAGTATCAGATTGGTGAATTCAAACAAATTTTCAACATACCCAAATCACAAGGCTCTGTATAGATGAATCAACAACACGACGCCCTGTTATGAGCTCAAGAAGCAAAACTCCATAAGCAAAGACATCAGTCTTCTCATTAACTATTCCGTGCATGAAGTACTCTGGCGCCAAGTATCTGGATCATTCAGCACATAAGCAACTTACTAGATCAAACAAAACAATTCGAATACCAGTTGGAGGATATCATACCTGTACAAGCTAGCAACAAGACCCTTGTCCCAGCCATGACACGCATGCACAAGGCAAGGCATATTGTAACAACGAGCATAGACTTGGCACTTATGTACCGAACCACTTCAAACACCCTTTCAACAATGCCTTCATGAACAGCATGAACACCTCTCTTCGCACCATCAAACCAACCTGTGCCCAAACTGAACACAAAACCAGCAAACCCACAACAGCAAGTACACAAAACTGAACACAAAACCAGCAAACCCACAACAGCAAGTACACAAAACTGAACACAAAACCAGCAAACCAACCAGTGCCCAAACCGAACACAACCAGCAAACCCACAACAGCAAGTAGTGCCCAAACCGAACACAACCAGCAAACCCACAACAGCAAGTACACCAAAAATAGCCAACCAACAAAATCAGGCTACACAACCAGCCAACCAGAGGCAACATGTGCCCACAAATAACCGAGCAGGAAAAAAAAATCAACAAAAACAACATATGCAGACCAAACTGAACACAAACAGATTGTAATGGTCACAAAGCCAACCAGAGCTGCCAAAATGATTATGGCTAAAGGCTCGGAATTTGGTCAATATCATCATTGTTAGCCATCCAGTACAATATCAAAGATATTGCAGGTTGCTAATCTCAAGAAAAACTGACAATCATCATAGCCTAAATTGATGCAAACCAAACTGAATAGGGCTGAGGGCTCATAATATGGTCAATATCATCATTGTTAGCCGTCCAGTACAATATCAATAGATATTTCGTCATCTACAATGTGTACTTGAGTAGATTGGGGAGAATGCATTGGTGAGTTCGCCTCATCTCCAAGATTTATGGTCTCACTACGACTAAACTTTTTCCAAGCATCATTAGCAAATTGACCTGTGGCTTGATCATCACCGATGATAAGGGCAAGATCATCATAATGCCTTAATGGTTTATTGACATATTGTCTAAGCTTCGCATTCTTAAAGCTCTTGTCCTGAAACAGTATAATTTAATTAATTACAAAAATTGCTTAAAATGGAAAATAAATATATTCTTTAACCAGACTTTATTTACCTCAATCCACCTATCCAAACATTCAGGATCCATAATGACAGTCTTCGTACTATCATCCCATCCAGCACCACTAAGATTACGACAAGTTTCCATATCACGAAATCGTGTTCGTAGAGTTTTGATGCGGTGCATGACATTATCCCACTTAAAAACTGTGTTGAACTTTTCATTAATGTGTTGAGAAGCCATATGAAATGCGGTTCTCTTAAAGCTTTTGTCGGGTTTGTATCCCTTTCTTACCAAGTCGGCAAGAAATGGAATGAGCTCATCATCATAACGGGAATCCCAAAACAAATGTTTGTTGCCTTGAGAACCACCTACTTCACCATTTTTGGAGGATGTGGTGTTTTTCCTCTTCTTCTTTGGATTTGGCGATGTTTCTACCCCTTCTTCTATGAGGTCCCGTTTGGAACCTGATTCGGGAGTTGATCCATTACCACTAGTGTGTGAAAGCTGCACCCCACTCAGATTAGGACTGTGAAATTGTGGAGGCAAAGTGGGTGAATTGAGCATGTTCGAATATGGCCCCATATTATGGTGCATTGGAAAGTAGCTGCTATCATGGAATGGCATGTTCGGGAATGCTTGAGGTGGTTGTACAAAGTACGACTGCTGAAATGGAAAATACCCATCACCGTGATGCACAGACTGAGGGGGTTGAGATGGTTGGGAAGGTGAAGGAACGACCCCCTTGCCTTTTTGATTATCTCTCCCACTCAATGAAGTATTATCAGCCATTGCTAATTAAATAGAAAAAGTTAGATGAAATAAGTACAACATGAATAAAAACTGAATGACATTAATGGAAATAGAGTTATTGAGTACATATATGAACATAAATAGAACAAAAATAAAAATCAAGTCTCTGTGATTACACCATGATTATACATATCACAGTAGTCAAATAAAAATCAAGTCTCTGTGATTACACCATGATTATACATATCACAGTAGTCCACCCACATCGCCCAAGCAATGTCATCCCTAAGAGTCTTCCACTCATTTCTTGATTCAGTTTGCTCTCTTTGGGTTTGATTTTGAGTAAAATCAACTAAATTAGTGTCATTCTCGAAAGCCACTTCGCTATCAATGTCTTCATTAATTTCATCATTGTTGAGTAGTTCATCACTTGGATCCACAGTTATAATAAAATTATGGAGTACCGTGCATGCCAATACGATATCTACTTGTATAGGAAAAGGATAATGCGGCTTAGCACACAAAATCTTGAAACGATTCTTCAATGTGCCAAATGTAGATTCAATCTTAGACCTCAATGAAGAATGTCTTAGATTGAATAATTCTCTTCTATTCTTAGGTGTTTTACCCGAATGTTCTTTCAAATGATATCTAACACCTCGGTATGGAGAGATGAAACCTGGCATGGTTGGGTACCCAGCATCACATAGATAGTATTTGCCTACAATTTTATTAAGAAAATTGTTAAGTCAAGTTTGAATATTAAAAATAATAAATTTTAAGTTAAGTCTATAATTAATTACCATCATAGACTCTCAATCCATGTGGTTGTGGTCTAGACAATGCGTCCTGAAGAATCCTATAATCATTTGCAGACCCCTCCCAACCTGCTAGAACATATGTGAACAGTTTGTTTGGGGTGCAAGCTGCAAGCACATTCTGTGTAACACCTTTGCGGCCTCGAAATCGGGCAACAAGATTAATCGGAAGCATAGCATCTATGTGTGTCCCATCTATCATTCCAATGCAATCCTATAATACGTGTATAACACATCTAAATTAAAATTTACTTACATTGATTATACATTTAAATATGCTTAAAGTGTAGATATACCTTGAAATAAGGGTAGTATAGCGGGTTGTTAATGATCTCTTGGGGAATGTCATTGGGGGCTTGTCTCATGTACCGTCCACGCAGGCAAATAATTGCTTGTAATACCTTGTTGAAATATCTACTCACTGTCTCCCCTGATCTTATAAAATGAGATCTAACTATGCGATTTTTAGATTTATGACCCAGAATGTTTAGAGTCATTATAAGTTGTTCTTCCACTGTTATATTCCTTGAGTCTTTTAGCAGGTTATTGTTCCTCATTATACTCGCTAGTTTTGCAAAAGCACCACTTCTCATTCTAATATAATTCACGCAACTATCACTAAAACCATTATAAATTCGACTTATGTGCTCAATTCTAGCTCTCTCTCGTCTTCTTTTTTCCTTACTTGGACCACTACGAATTGATTTACGCCTTGCTTGCATTCTTCTTATGACAGTAATTATTATAATTAGAACGGATAGGGCAGCACCTTGAACCATATTTATAACACTTTGTTCATCGGAACAATCACCATCATTATCCATCTACGATGCAAAAAATCATTATCACGTTAGAATCTAAGTCGAATTATGTCAAAATCTGAAAAAATTACAAATTATAATTTAAAATTTACAATTTACATTTTACTAACATGGATTACTACAATATCAAACCCAAAAAATATTCCAGTGATATAAATAGCATTAATAAATAACAAAGATATGAACTTTAGCTCCTAAAATCAGTAAAATTACATTAACACGCAACCAATTAACATTTTCATACTATCTAATAATGAGATAATTAAAAATACCAAAAATTGATCTTAGAAAATACGAAATCATGGGGGATTCTCACTGCTACAGTCACAAGCTCCTCATCACAGATTAAAATTTTTTCAACACATCCAGATATTTATTAGCAATTAAATCTGATATGTGTCACCTAGAAAAATAAATTCGTAATACATTCCCAATAATAATGCTAAAACAACAAAAATTAATTCTAAAATCTAAGAAATTATACGAAATTTGAACATTTTCTTATCTGTAAAATCTCAAAAATAAAAGGAAAATCACCAAAAATGTAGAGATAATCAAAAAAATGCGTAAATCAGCGTAATACATTCCCAATAATAATGCTAAAACAACAAAAATTAATTCTAAAATCTAAGAAATTATACGAAATTTGAACATTTTCTTATCTGTAAAATCTCAAAAATAAAAGGAAAATCACCAAAAATGTAGAGATAATAAAAAAAATGCGTAAATCAGACCCCCCACACCCCCAAATTCTCAGATCATTGTTGTAAATTAAACTAATAATAAGAAAATTAAAAAAGACGAATTTTTACCTTGATTTATGAAGCTACAGCGTCGGCAATGATCAGATCTGATTATTGTCGAAAATGATCAGATCCGAATACAGGGACAAAGAGGGTCGCGGGAGTTTCTGGCGGGAGGAGAGCGCGGAGGTAAGTATAGCACGTCGAAGAAATCAACGAGGAAACCAAACAGCCGACGTGGCTCTTGTTTCCGTCGATTTCACGAGGGGAAGGAAGGAATTGAGGGAGAGGAGGAAATCCGATGTGGCGGCGGTTTTTCTTCAGTTTCGCTCGTGAAGCCCTAGCGAAACAAAGTGGGGAAAATAAACCGACGGAAACGTTTTATCCAACGTGGCCATCAAATTTCTGACGTGGAGGCGGTGAAAAGGGTTTCCACAGAGATAAAAAGCGAACCAAACAGGCCCATAGAAATGAAATGGGACTAGTTTCTTTTCCCTTAACCGGGTCAGGCCAGGGTTAAGTCTATACAAAGGATGCACGGTCCGGTGAACAACTGGTTTAGGAATTAGCTCAACTTACGTTGAGACTCTGCCAAACTAAAACAAAAATTGAACTAAGGTTGTACCACTTGCAAAGGAAAATATAAACCTTTTTAGGACATTCGATCAAAAGAGAGTGGCCAATGTAATCGCTGAACCGAAAGAGATGAAAACCAATGGGCTAATTATAGCAGAAAGACACCTTTACCTTTAAAAAAATTCTCTGGACTATGTTGCTGTCATAGAAACTTTGATGCAATGCTTCTGAGTTTGAACAGCCATAATTGGTCTGAAGCATTGAGATCTGGTTTTTTTTAAAATTTTTAAGTTGAGGGGTATTTTCGCATGTTTTGGTCATATAGTTGGCATGTGACATTAGGCTTGATGGAGTTCCTGTGGGAGTTAAAAGTGAAAAAATTCAAGAAGTTCAGTAGGTAATAGAAGTTCAGGTCGTAATGTCAGAAACCCCTCGAAGTTAAGGGGTTTTGTCGAACTAAAATAAATAAGGGGGTATCTAAAACATGGTTAAAGTTATGAG